TACATTATTTAGTTACTAGGAGGTAAAATACTTTGTCAGCTGTAATACAATACAAATTGCTGCAAAGCGTTTAATACAATTATAACATGCATATATTCAAAGCACTACAGTTTATATTCTAGGTCTGTCCTCCTGGGATCAATTTATGATACTCTGTGCTGGGTATCTTGTCTTTACAAAACCACGTTACTTAGCTCCTATGTTGCTACATTTGGCTACCATGCACTTTATGTATGTGTACGATTACAGACCCAATCATTGCATAATGAAGAGCGATGCACATCACTGGGATACACGGGGACACGAAGCAGGATGCGTGATGAGCATCCATACAGGAAGCACAACACACGAGTGCACGCCTCTCTCCACGACTCTGAAACATTTTCTTCAAGCAAGCACAGTAAAAGAGGCATAACAGAATCAATAGCAGATCGTATGCACTTTATTGCATTGGTTTCTTGAGCGTTTGTGTTAAAAAAAAAATAATAAAAAAATCTTTCACTTGGGTATTTACCATCTTCACACCTGCATGGCATGTAGTAACATGCAGCATCTCTGTAACGGAGGTCTAAAGAAGCAGTTCCTATAGGTGACTGCCACCTAGGTGGGCACTTACATCCTAAGCAGAACACCCAAAGTCATTAAGCCACATAAGCAGAAAGACTTGCCTTCATTTTCCTTCATTTTCTTGCATTTGGTATTAAAATCCATGTTTAGAAGTACTGGTATTATAAATGGTAGCCAAGATGAAACAAGACAATTTCAAAGCTCCTTATTACTGCTTTAATTTTTAAGTCTGACAGTTGTGTAACACGTTAGTGACATCCTCAATTAATAACACGGCGTGTTACTTGGTAACATATGGCATGTTTAGCAACGTGACTCAGCCCCAATTGTTCCAGCGAATCCAAAGACGACTTTGCTTCCAGATTCCCATGTACCAAAGTGTCGTGCGTGTAATCACCTATTGTAAACACACATTTTCCAGCGCTGCAAAGGGAGACAAACAGTTGCAATGCCAAGGCAATTCAGAAAAGGTAAGTGTTTTAACGTGAATCTTCTTTGCATAACTTTGATAAACAGAAGGTACAATGTAGCAGAGACACTTGGTGCTAAATACAGGGCAGTGCCTAGATGGGGAAGCACAGGGCAAATTAAAAATGAACACGGATCTGCTAAAAGCTGACACCTTCTCTAACCAAACCAAATTGCTGCTGCCCAGGGATACTGGCTGATGCAGTCTTGCTTTGTTTCCCAGCTGCTCCATGAAGCTGATCCAAAGCCCACTGAAGTCAATGAAGCCTCAAGTAAGAACAAGAATGAACAAAACATCTGTATGTATCTCCTCTGGCTTAGGGCTGGCTGGGGGCTGTTACAACCCCAGGTTTTTGATGGAGCAACCTCCATGCTGCTCTAACTCTCCCCCTTGCATGCCTGGATTTAACACACTGGTTACAGCCTGATGTTTTATCCATATTCCCATCCCTCCTCTGAACTGTGCTTCCTTGCTCAAATGCTCCAGCACAGAGCTGTTTGAGGAAACAGTCCTTCAAATCTGGCACTGTCTGCTGAGGCTTACAAACTTTCTGATTAGAAAAGCAAAAGGGAAGAGCAAGGTCACTCCAGACCTTCAGAGGGTCCCCATGGGTGATACACATCTGCAAGACTATCAGCCACCTTCTTCCAGCCATGAGGCCATGCAGCACCTGGTCAAGGAAGGTGTGACCCAGGTGGAGGGTCAGGGACCTGCAGGGGACATCCCAGGAGCCAGTGGATGTAGGTACAATGAGGGGAGGTAAGATACAGTCTGGTAGGTGACCACTGCCCCTGTTAAGTGACAGCAGTGCCTGAGCAGCAGTGCCAAAGGGCCACAGCTCCTCGTGCTCCGTGCCCTGCCACCTGAAGGGATGGGTCACAAGCCTTCTGGCTGATCTTCCCCGCTTCTTGCCTGTTTGCCACATTTTAACATTAGTTCCCGTGTTTAATGTTTCAGATTTATGTGTAGTTAAAAAAGAAGTCGGAGCGTGCCAGTTATTTCTCCAAGGTTTCAGAACACAAACTTTGCAGCTCTTCTGTTGTTTTGCATAGGCTGCCACAGATGGAAGACAGATATCTGTCCGCCAACGTTTAAAGAGGACCAGATTTTTTTGTTTAGAGTTTTTCACTGTTTAGCACTCCCAGTCGCACAATCAGCCAGACCAATCCTTCCCTCCATAAAAAGCACATACATGAATGAACACGAGATACCATTGTCTGTGCAGGATTCACACACAGAAAGACATCTGCAGAGCACTGGGACTGCCTTGACAGTTAGTTTTGGAAGGAAAGGGGTCAACAACTTCTAACCTGGCTTGGAAAGCTCTAAAATTAATGTAACTGTCTGCCAAAAGGGAAAGGAAACTGAAAGGGAAGGAAAACAAAGTTGCTTAGTAGCCATTTCAGCTAGCATCAGACAGGAAGATTTGCTATTTCCGAGTCTTTCCAACTGAAATATCTGCGGGAAGTTGTTGTGAGAAGTCTTGCTAAATCATCTGTACTCCTTTCCCAGCTGATGATTTAGACTGACCTCATATTCTCCAGCTTCCTTCTGCAGCAGATACAGTTGGTCTCTGCCATCGTACCTGATCCTCCACAAAAGTTTTCACAACCTTCAGGCTCATCACAACAGCCCTGCGAGCATAAGCTGAAGCCAACTTGACACAACAGATTCGGTTTTTCTCTCCGAGGCACACATATGTCACAAAGATTGCAGTTCATCACCTACGCTTCACAAATGTTGCTGAGCACGCTCGAGTGGGATAGCACTTGCAAACAGGACAGCACTGATGTTTCTTTTATAACTTAAAAAGAGAAAAAATATGGCTAATGTAAGTCTGTTTGAAGTTAAGTTCACAATTCATGCTCTGTGAACTGTCTTATGCTGTGTCCAAAAGCTGCACAGAAAAAAAAAAAAAAAAGAAAAAAAGTTGTCACTGGAATCATGTGCACAGCCCTGGGAATGAGGCTTTTCTTCTGCCCCAACATCTCCTGAGCTTGAATACTTCAGGGCTTACAGATTCAGTAGGGTGGGGTCATTGGGTGGTGCCTGAATGCCTGTGTGGACACAGGCAGAAGTTTCCAGGAGCAACAGAAAGTAAACTATGCCACAGAAGTCGCACAGTGCTTACTGATTTCTTCCTTGCGCATGACGTCTTGGGAAAACTTGAGGGAGAAAATGAATGCTGACAACTGACAGGCATCGGGCAGTGTCTTGAGGAAAGCAGGGAAATGTGTGTCCCCATGGACAAGGGCACCGGTGGAGGGAGGGGAGAGGAGAGGTGGCTGCTTCGCTCCCAGACAGGGATTAGAAGTCGCAGGTGAACCAAGGCCACCTGCCCTACTAATAGCAGCAGCTTCCTGCTCAAAATAAGGAGCAAGTTCACGCATTTGTTCTCCACTTGGGTTCAGACATAAGCTGCAACACAGATGTTCGCAGGGCACAAAGGGGACACCCAGCAGAGCTGGCTGCAAAAGAAAATTTACAGGAATGACAGCAAGTTTCCTTTTACAGCAGGCTCTCTAGAGAGGCAGTAAAAAGGAAGCTCATTCTGCTATCATTTTTTCTTAAGCTCCTCCTTGTGTAAGATCCCACTGCTGCCAATCTCCAGAGACTGAAAATGAATTAGAAAGAGGAGGAAAAAGCAAAAACCACGGGAAAGCAAAATAAAGAAGCAAAAGAGAAAACAAAGCAGAACAAATGAGACAAATCTATCACAAAGAGGGCATAGAGGAAAAAGAGAGAAATAAAGGCACATTGCTAGATTTGAGAAATATTAAGGAAATAGTGGCAAGATCTGCACACAAGCTGAAAACACTGTTAGACATAGAATCCTCTAACATGCCTGAACACAGGCGTGAACATCCAGGAGATCCAGTAGCAGGACAATTATTCTTTAAGTGATTCAGGCAAATGCCTGACCCTATGCATAAAATGGAGACAGTGGTTCTCCAGCTTCCGTCAGGCATCCTGGGACTTACAAATGACACACTCAATGAAAATACTTTGCATTCCAGTTCTTAGAGAACATGCAATTTCTTCTGAAAACCAATCTTTTGGGTCCTCTACACAAAAATCTAATTATGAATTTTATTCTATAAGAACAATTCAACCTCTCCCCCATTATAAATCTCTTAAAATTTTCTCATACAGATCAAATTCAGTTCAGTTGTTACACCCATACATTTGAGAACCTTTTTCCTCTTTAGAGCTGAGATGAAAAAAATGTCTGGTTTTGTAAATTCTTTAGAAAGAATAAAACCTTCTACATCTTCTCTTGTTTCCCCCTCTCCATTACTAGGAGTTTAGCAGCATTTCAAGCATCATAAAGTGTGACCTGAGTTTTAAAAAAGAAATCACCTAAAAATTGCTTCGTTATATGCAAGAATGTAGTTCTGAAATTGCCTGAATATTTTCTGTAAATGTTCCAAGTCAGATACTAGCTTTGCTGAAATACTTGAGAAAATTTTCAGGAACTCCAGCATGCCTGAGTTTTTTACCTTTATAGACCTTTTCTTCAGGCATTTCTTCACATTCATACCTTAACTACCTTAAGCAGTTGCAAGGAAAATCAAAGGAAACACAGACGAAAAGCCAGTTATAGCACAATCTTAAGTACAGGATGATCAAGAGTAGAGCTCTTCTTCCAACTCCCTTGCTTTATGTTCAGAACTTGTTAGTTGCTCATAGAGACTCACTTTTTCCTTCAGTTAGAAGTTAAATTTGTAAGTTTGGGTACACATTTCGCCCTGAGTAACTGTGAGCATCAAACACTTCCCAGTTTCTGCCATACAAATACCACGTGCTGTTGAAAATTCAGCCTCCAAAGATCCATCATATTCTCCCATTCATGGCAGCTGAGATTTATCAAGAGCTTTAAGAAGTTCAGCATTAAACTGTCAACAAAACTCACACATATTCCAAATCATCCAACACAAAATATGAATGTATCCATTACACATACCAATTTATTGCAGGTATTCTCCAACTTTCAAGAAGCATATAATCAAGAATTGCTTCAAGTTCAGAATCCAAGATCTGAAAAGGAAATAATATATACAAGTCACTAAATGTATACAGCTTAAGGCTACCAAAGAAAGAAAAAAATATTATTGTATTTGGAAATGAGACAATTCTTCTACAGTAGTGCATCACAGGAGCCATTCTGGGTGATAAAATTGACAGTATGATAATTTAAAGGTTATTCAATTTAACATATATAGTAGTACATAGATTCTTAGGCAACTTCTGCATGTGAGTTCAAAATTAGTATAAACCTCTGAAAACACATCAAATTTCCAAATAGCACTTTTGCTACAACTGTCTGTAATGAAAGAACAAAACCAATATACTCAATATGTAAAAATGCAGTAGCATAGCAGAAAATAAAAATACATTAGGAAACCACAAGCATGCCTATGTACATTTACGCAATATTCTACCTTTAATTTGTAGCAAGACTGTGGCTTGAACAGGGAAACCACGCGAAAAAAAAAAAAAAATCAAGGACATAATTATATGCATTATGTCTCTATCCAAAAATGCTGAATAGGGCAGTTCTGCTACAAATGTGAAATTCTAGATGCACATTTTTGTAAGCGTATATGTAACACCTAGTTGCAATTAGTCCTAGAGTATCTGTAATTTATCCTAGTGATTCTTGCACGTTGACATAGAGCATAATGTGTTTGATAAGACTAATGTGCAAAAAAAAAAAAAAAAGTAATAAAAAAATAAAAAAGCTGAAGAAGATGCACTGGAAGAAAGAAACAGGCTCAGCAGTCCAAGAAAAGATGCAGAGGAGTGGAAAAAAAAAATAGGAGGAAAAGAATTTCATGTGTCCAAATACACTTGGTCTGATCTTTGTTCTAGACAGTGATTTCTGAGATGACAACATCAGCTTCAACACCATGAGTAGATGGTGCACTGAGTATTTCTACTGCTCCTTTAGTATCTTTGAATTCTGCAGCAGGAAAAACTCTTTCACACAGTGCTGCCAAACAGCCACGTCCTTAAAGAAATTAGATTGCACATTAGAAAAAGTATTGCGTCTTTCCTTTCCCCACGATTTTTCCTGAGCTTTAGCCTGCAGCTGCACCACTGGTACCCACCACATGATTCCCAGCGTAGGCAAAGTGAATCACCCCAGCAGAGTTAGATGAATCAGTAACAGACCAGCCTATACCCACTATGCATCAATGGTCACCTGGCTGGGAGCACCTATCTGCTCCAGCTGCACAGCAGGCATTTTCTTCTCCAAAGGTTCAACCCACCAAAGGAGTCTTAGACTCCCTCTGTTCCCTTCTGTGAGCTGGTAATTTTCAAGCAGAGAGACAAAATGTAAATATCAGCATGGATAATTATTTCGCTGCTCATTTTTTTGCAAGATAATCAGACATAAAGATAAGGCTGTCTCTGAGAAGCAGAAGCAGTAGAAATTTTCATCCAGCATGAAATTCTGGATTCTGCCAATTCTTCTTACAAAGTTCACTGATTTGTAGCTGCTGCCTACTTTCATGTGTAAGAACAACAACTACAGAAATCCTTCATTGGTCTTCTCTACATATTTTCAGGCAATCTCTATAAACATGACAATAGCGAGGGTTATTTATTCTATATGCTACATTGCCATTCCTGCTGTTGATGTCAGCTGTGGAGAAGCCAGGCACAGAAGCTCAGGCCCCATCACAAGGAGGCACGAGTAATGCCACTACTTCTCTGCCCTTTGCAATTTCTGTTCAATTCCCCCAAAGAGATTTTCCTCAGCAGAGGAATCAGAAAGTGAATGTTGTTATAGTTAATGTGTAAATCAGCCAAATATCACCTCCAAAAGCAGTGTGAGCTATTTACTAGGTAATACCAACAAGAAACAACTGCTAGATCAGAGACTAGCCAAAGTTTACCCTTTATTCTCTACAGTAACATCTGCTGCTTTTCTGCATTTCCTTCTCCATCAATTAGCCTTGTAGCATTTTTCTCACATAAATTTATTCCCTACACTATGTTTTCCCCTCTTATTTATCCCTCTCATCTCTTACCCACTTTTATGGCTGCATGATTTATCCTTGCTTGCAATGCTCTGCGGTTGACTGTAAGCACTCAAGCTACCACACCTGAACAGGAGTTACCACTCATCATTAGGCACCTAAATGCACAGATTCCAGGCTGCAAACATCTTAGGCTGAGTAATCTTCATGGCAGGCAGTAGATTTCAAGGGCTGAACTATGAAGACCAACCCAACTTTTCTTGTAAAGGTAACCTTCAAAACACGAATCACATGTAAAAGTCTCCTAACGTGGTAAAGGATGAAACAATATTATTCAAAGACAGGTCTCAAGGGATTGTTGACCTAAGAATTTCTTGTACCATATTTATAGACGAGCAGTATGAATTATTGCATGGCTGAGACAGGTCTGTTGCAACCATCGTTACATGTGAGTATACGCACGCAAATTGCTGTGCATAACATTAGCAGCTTTTATTTTAGAAGTGACCACCCATTTGACTGTTCCAAAAAATCTCAGAGGGTTGCTAAAAGATGCCAAGGAAACTTTTTGCTTCTAGCATACTTTCTATCTTTAATAACACCAGCTGTCACTTTTGCAAACACATCGTGCCCTCCACAGTTATCCCATATTCTGCAAACACCAAAAAAGCCCCAAACCCTCCCACAGTTATTAACATCTGCTTCATTTACTGATACTGACAAACTGAAGGACAAAGGCATGATTTAACAGATTGTTCTGTGCAAAGAAACAATGCAGTTCACAAAAGGATTCATCAAATGCCCCTGTCAGAAAGCCTTACAAAGTACAGCTTAATGAACGTATGCAAATTGCTGTAATATATAAAATGTCTGCTACCACTTCAACAAGTAATGTGCTTATGAAATCTATAGAGAATGGTAAGATAGATCAATCTAATTTGTCTTTGAAATAAAGTGATTTGGTTTTCTCAAGATAATTTCAATCTCCTTTTTTGAATGTCTTGTGGCATGACAATACGTTACATACAATGATCCACCACCGCTTTAGACCCTAGAAAATGTGACTATTCCATAGAAAAAGCCCCAGACAAACTAGAAGCACACTGGTACACTTCAATATTTTCCTTTGATGTTTTAACACACTGGAATATCTAAAAAACTGTCATTTCCAGTTTGCCTTGCTGCATTTAAACAACCCCTATTTTTTGGAGTTGCTTGATGAAAGTTTGAAGCCTGAGCTAAGCCAGGCCAAAATTTACAGTATGCAAAACTTTTCAGATCTGAGAGAACATCAGAAAACAACGTCTGTACAGGATGATCACTGCTGTTGCTGTTTTCAACATTATTGATCTCAAGATCAGATAATTTTCTTTTCATCAAGATAGGGAAAAATGGCTTCTGAGCTAAAATGGTTTTTGTTGGAGAAAAAAAAAAAAAGAAGTCTTTTTTTCCCCTGAAAACTAAAAGTTCTTTTTACCAAGTTACTTTTTCAAAAAAGACATTTTTGGTGTTTTTTCAAAGAAGCCGGAAACCACAATAAAACCCACCCTTTATGAACTTAAGAAGAAATGAATAGAACTTCTCTAAATATTTACATTAAAGAAAATACGTGGAAAAGAACATGGCACAGTGATCTCATCAAAAACCATGCAGAATCAGAATTTCTAGATCTTGATTTTACTATTTAGGCCTAGGAAGGTGTGGAAGAGATGGTGCATCACATGGCACTGTGATCTACTGTGAGATTCTCCTTTAAAGACCTTTTTTTTTTCTCCGAAAACATCTGTCAGAAGGAGCTTAGGTACAGGTAATGGTGCCTTGGGGCTGCAATGGACTACATCATGGGTTTTGCACTCCTTTTTTCTTTGTAGAGGCACTATTCACCCTTTGCAAAAAGTACTCAGAGCATCATGTGTACTAACATAAAACTGATTCCACTTCAGAGCCAAATGAAAATTAAACAAAACTATGAATGTTTATTATTTTATCCCAGATGGTCTGTCTACTTATTTGCATCTAAATGAGTTTATATAGGTGAGCTGGGAGGCAAAGAGGAGGATGAAAGGGTGATTTTTTCGTTATTTTTCTTTAATTTTTAATTTTTGACCACCTTTTTACACTTTCAGAAGCCCCAGTCATCCAAAGGCTACAAATACAGAACACAAATTATCTGGCCTCTTCATCTTCCTTTCAGTCTCATTTCTCTGGAGCCTGTGATGGAAAAGGTCCAGGATGCAGTTTGCCAGTTCTTTTACATGCTATTTATTAGACCCAAATTTTTTCCAGCTGGAAGGTGTCCATCACATTCTATGGAATTCAAGTTTTCATAGGAAATAAAAGGAACTCTAGTGCTGGGACTGCAAAACGAAAACAAACAAACACTCTCTAAGTAACACTTCACTGGGTGATTCTTTGTTAATTTACGCTAGGACAAAAGTCCACGATGTGAGTATGGTGAGAATGTTCCCTAGTTATCTTACAAGGAGACTTTTCCCCTGCCCAAAACAACTGTCCAATAAATAAACAGTTTCAACTCTTACATCATTCATTATGTCTATCACATTACTGTATAATTACTATTACTATTGAAGAGAGACTCAAGTTTTGCTCACTGCCTGAGGCAAAATGACTAAATTGGACAGCACTCTGTGCAGGATTTTTAAATCTCTGAATCACAGAACAGCAGTTACTGCATTAAGAATTAAGCAAGCTGTAACTTAGAGTCCAGGTTGAAACACAATGCCAGAAATGTGTTGTGATCTCCTTTTAGAGGCATTAACTTGTAAAATCCCTTCCAGTTTGTTACACTGAATATTCAGTATATATCAGACACTATGGAAAAGGCTTGCAAAAATGTATATACTAGAGCGACTATGTGTAATACTTTTTTAAGAATTTGGTTTGTATCTGACAATTAAGGGGTGATATCCTTAACAATTTCTATCACTTTCAGATGCCAGGTAGCAACATTTAACATAGCAGACTGTTGTCTTTTTTTTTTTTTTTTTCTTTTGGTATTAAAATTTGCAAGATGGTGGGTGGTGGGTTCTC